ATCCCATTCATCTTTTGTCTATTATTCTATCCTCCCTATATTCAGTCTTTTCTCTCAATTTCACTCCCTGTAACCCCCTGCGCCTTAGTGGCATTTCCGCCTTGATTGGGGTGAAATGATTAAAAAAATTAATAAAATATGAAAATAAACAAATATTGTCTTTCATTAAGAATGAAGAGAAGAAACTTCATAAATAAAACAAGAAAATCAAATTATAATCAAACTTTGTGAGCAAAAAAGTCAACTTTTTTCTCGTTCAAAATTTCCCATATTATGCACAACAAATACAGTAAATAAAATTTATTTCAAATACCAAAACATAAATTAGAATAGCAGGCTAATATATTGTTGTAACCTAAAGGGGGTTACTAAATAGAATAATCAAACGAAGGTTGGTAATGAACGATGATACATAGGATACGAACAACACATATAAGATTTGCCAGCGGCGCGTAGAACTAGTAGTCAACTGCTAGAAGTGAGTCAAGTGAATTCCACAATGAATCTCGAACCGCAGGATATCTACCAACCGCCCCACGCGGTCAGATGTGGCACAAGGACGAATTTAATGTGGGGTATCCGAGCCTGTAGGCTCGGTCAAAAATTCTTCGTAGACCCCGTATAAAACGGGGTCGGGTAGCTGTTTCCCGAGACGAGACTCTGCTCTTCGACATAGCCTCGTCTGGGGATCCTCTCTACCTCCGGGCATAGAGTTTGAACAGCACAACAGGAAAAAAAAATCTCCAACTGCAGACCAACATACAGTATTTACTATTGTATTTCTATGAATGGGACATACCCATTATCGTCTCTAGGTATGCTACAATATATACAAATCAATTAAATGTATTATTTATTATTATTATATATGTAAAATTTATGCCTGTCTATATCCCTGAGATGAAGTGTTATGATTACGTGCAGTATTGACATTACTCGGAATGTTATCCTCATCTTCATTGCCATATTCACAACGTCGGCCTTCTTCAGGTGATTTGAGTTTCGAACCGAACCCTTTATTTCGTTCACCGGGGTAGATTATTCGAGTTACATGTGCCATGCCTCGAACCAACGTCTTTACCCACTGGGCCATATGAGCTTGAGCATGAAGATCCAGTGACTAGACCCAGAGAGTTGTGAGTTCAATACCAGGCCACAGCATTGGTGAAACAAAAAACTTGGTAAATAACCGACACATCCGGAAGAGGCATGGTGCGTGGAACTAGAACAATCTACCCCGGTGGACGAAATAAAGCAGCTGGCCTAGGATAAGGGCAACACTGAATTCAAAACTTCTTTATAAGCCTTCACTGCTATAATCAAACGATATGTGTACGTAGTCAGGCTGTTGGGTCTAAGAACTGATAAAGCTTGACTCTCATACGTCGAAAACTACGGTAGAGTCCAGTATATATATATATATATATATATATATATATATATATATATATATATATATATATACTCGACTCTCCCGTCGAATTCGACGTATGAGGATAAAGCAGATCAGTTCCTAAAACCGACAGCCCAACAACAGCACATGAGATTTGGATTATAGTGGTGAAGGTTTAATGCTGGACCATCCACACTTATTGAAGGGCCGAATACAGAGACCTCGTGCACTACGTGCCACAAGGTCCCCAAACGACCCTCCGCAGGTTTTGAATTCGGAGTTGTCCTTCTCCTTGTCCAGTTGCCATTCAAGGCTATAGAACCCAGTCTGTTCTGCTATTTACCTATAGCTAGAGGGAGAAGAAGAATCACACCTTTCCCAAGGTTATTAGCACGTAAGTGAATGTAATGGATTCGACTGGAATTCGAACTCGGCTCTCCGATTTCTCAATCCAAGCCGCTATCCATTACCCAGAATCACCAACTGTTTTCTTCTGTATAGTTGAGTGAATTCAAACGTGATGACTCTGAATCTTGAGTGCAGGGGTTGTCGAGTCACACCTGCGTTATTGTCCACTTCCTATTGAAATACCAGTGAATAACACCAGAAACAAATCAAAATACTTTTCCGCACCTCTGTCCCCATCACATTTTCCTTATCTCCCTCAATATATATATATATATATATATATATATATATATATATATATAGTTTATATGCTCTTCTAGCCCTGCTTGTTGGGGTGACACTTTTTTGTTCCTCCCCACTTCCTCTAATCTCTTCAAAGATTTTTCTCCGCAAAATCTTTTATTCGTTTCGTCTTGTAATTTTTAACAAATTGTCTGCATGACTGAAACTATTTTATAACTCCGCTTTTATGAGACAGTTGTTTGTCTGAAATAAGTTATTACCTAACTTTTTAATGATGTATTGAGTTTTTCTTTTGATGTCTATATCCACTGTGCCATGTGTCCATGTGATGGTTAAGGCTGTGGAGAACTTGGAGAGGGGAATTAACAGGAGATAACTGAAAACTGACATCCATTAAAACATGGCACGTGGAACTAGAACAGTCTACCCTAATGAGCGAAATAAAAGGTTCAGTTCGACATTTCAACCACCTGAAGAAGGCCGGAGCGTACAACGGCCGAAACGTTGTAATAAATATGGCGACAAAGATGAGGACAATAGTCCGAATAATGTAAATAGTTTGCATAATACCTCATCTCAGAAATATAGACAGATACTGAAGGGCAGAAACGTAGTAATAAATATGACAACAAAGATGAGGACAATAGTCCGAATAATGTCAATAGTGTCCATGATACCTCATCTCAGAAATATAGACAGATACCTAACCCTATCATCAACAACAACGACAAAGAGTCTGAGTTCAATACCCGGTTAAGGCAGTGGAGAAATTGGAGAGGGGAATTAACAGGGATAACTGATAACTGACATCCATTAAACATGGCACGTGGAACTAGAACAGCCTATCCCAGTTAGCAAAATAAAGGGTTCAGTTCGACATTCCAACCGCCTGAAGAAGGCCTGAGTGTACAACGGCCGAAACGTTGTAATAAATATGGCGACAAAGATGAGGACAATAGTCCAAATAATGTAAATAGTAGACCTGCAAGTGTTGACGTTTTCTATGTTTGTTCCCTAAACAAACATAGAAAACTTGTGGAGCATATTGCTCAACTGCCTTCTCGTGAGCCTGTACTTTATAATGCTCCATATATTTTCTATGGGGTTGAGGTCAGGAGATTGGGGCGGCCATGTCATAACACTCACCTGCTTCTCATCAAAGTATTCCTTCATCAATTTTGATTTGTGACAGGGAGCCTTATCCTGCATAAAAATGAGCTTGGTGGGGTCGATTTGCACCTTTTCAGCAGAAGGGAGCAGACAAGACTCTAAAATTCTCTTGTACTGCTCCTCCTGAGGTCTTTTTTCAATAGGTTTTAAGAAACCAGTTCCATGAAAAGAAAAAGCATCCCCAGAACATTATACTGAACGGATGCTTGACAATACTTACTGCTAAATTCAAAAAGAGCTTTCAAAGCTTCTTCTTCGGATTTTAGATCGCTTATCCTTTGAATTTAGCTCAACTTTCGTTTCATCGGAAAAGAGAACATTTAGTAAAAAAACAAAATCAGCTGAGTTACTTTTATCGAACAGCTCTGTATATGCTCCTGAAAGAGAAAGTGTTAGTTTGTAAAAAAACAGTGACTACAACTGCTTTTAATGAAATACTCTTCTATAAAAACGAATCGAGTTCTCTCAGTCACTGGTGTGGTTATCTAAAAATAAATACGCTTAAATTCACCTTCATCCCTGCCGTGCGTCAACGTCTTAGGAGTAGATTCTCAGACTGAAGCCATTTCAAACGGGTTTCGATCTTAGGTATAGGCAACCGGTCGTCTATCCACAATGATGAGCTGTGATACCGGGAAACAGTCTTTCTGTAGGTGACAACATATATATATATATATATATATATATATATATATATATATATATATATATATATATATATATATATATAATAAGAGAAACAACAAATGGAGTAAAAAATCCACTGCTCATAGCATTAACTTTTTTTAAAAGTGTTCAATACAAAGTAGAGCAAATTATTATTATAATATTTTTGTCATAAGAGATTATAATAAAAACATTTTGAAATCGCTACACAAAAGCTTTCATGTTTCAATACTTTGATTGTACTTCGTCAGGCAGTGCTTGGTACCTAGTGATAAAAAAGTTTTTTTAGGGAAATTTAAAAACAAATCATTACCTCTTTCCCTAAAGTTAAAGGTAGGGGGCGGGCATAAGATCAGAATTAAAAACTTACTTGTGGGTATGTCTCGATTAACCAGTGGAAAGTCAGATCTACGCTAAATAGAAAATTATAGTCAGGGGGTGGAGGTGGGTGAGTTATTTTTTCATGTCAAGATAAACTGGCGCTTAGACATGTTATCATTGACGATTCTGGAAATATGGCAGCGACAAATGTATCATGGATGTAGCCAAATATGACATTCTATTTGTTGAAAGAGAAGGTTAATCAGACGTACCGTTATCAGAAACAAATTTTTTTAATATTTTTCTTATATATTCAGGAAGATTCTTAAAGGGGTCTGTAAATAGAATTAAAAATGTGGAACATCTCTATACGACGCTAATAATACTGAATAGACAGCAAAATGATGGCTATATCAATGATGGCTATATAGTTAAAAATATTTTATAAAAACCATTACGTATTACAATTTTATAGTATACACAGACACAGACACACACACATACACACACACACGCACATATATATATATATATATATATATATATATACAAATGAAGCATTTACTTTTTTTTAAAGTGCTCTATACAAAAGTAGAGCATAGTATTGTAATATATATATATATATAGAGAGAGAGAGAGAGAGAGAGAGAGAGACAGAAACAAAGATAGAGAGAAAGAGAGAGTGAGAGAGAATTAATAGAATACATATTAACGATTGAGATGGATGGATATATAGCTAACAAGCTTAGATAGATGATAAACGTTCATAGACAGATATAGAGATACCTGAAAAACTTACCTAGATAGATGAGAAGCATGCAGATAGATAGATGGATAGATAGATAGAGGATAAA